CTTTTATGGGTATGTTAAATCTTTCACCTCAGTAGCTGATACATACAATCCCACTCAACTTGCTAAGACAAATTTACAGGAACTCTGCCACCACCGGGCCCTGCTTTTAAGACTGGATGAAAACTTTTGAGTGAGCACAGGTTATCAGAGATCTCAGAGAGGGCAAATGTTTGTGGCTGTGGTTGAAGAGAACCAAGATTGACATAGTGGGTCTAATCTTTCTGTGATTAAGAGAAAAAGTGAAAAGTATACAGCAGGCAATGTGATTATTTTTTAGCCACTTAAATTCAATTATACTTCTCAAGTTAATGGGGATGGAGTGAACATTTCATGCTACAGATACCATGATACACTTCTGAGAACTTGCATACCACTTTCTTCTGTGTCCCTTCCAGAGCTAAAATGACAAAAATGGAATAAATAACTCAGCTGGCTATTTTGCTGAACTACAGGACTGCTAAATATTTATAAGACATAATGAAGTCCTGTTATTGAGCTAATATTTTGCCTCGTGAACAGATTTCTCCAGTGGCTGTCAAGCATCTTCACATTAACTGTTGCCAAGTGTGAGTTAACAGCACATCTATAGCTGGGAAAAGAAGATGAAAGTTGTCCACATGATATTGAGTAAACAAACAGTCCCTTTGCCTCTGAGAAATACTTTCCACTACACCAGGGAGGCCAGAGGATAACTCAGTATCACTAAGTGGTCACTGTTTTCCAGACTATCCACAAAAGATTCAGCTCTTGAGAACTTGGCTCGCCTATTCTTGTTGCAAGATTTCCAAGGCCACCAGTATGTTCCTCATCAGCACCCATCAGTCACAGGGAATTCATGCCTCTCTGCTTGGCACAGCCAGCCACAGCTCTGTGGTGTAACTCCAGGGCACTTCTTGTAGACATCTGATAGCAGAAAAGTCAAAGATCTGATGCTGTTTTAATCTGACAAGACACGTGGAAAGTTGCCAAAAAAATTTGGTCTGCATTTAGATAATGATTTAAAATAATACAGGTATGAGATTTGTTCTAGCACAGCTACAAACCTATCTTGTAATACACAGGTTACAGGTTTCTTCCTCTATGAGGATGTGACAGACCCTGGAGATTTATGATCATGTGAGTGTCCCTGTCCTTATCTCTATCCTAAAGTTTCAGAGTCTCTGAGAGGAAACATGAGGGAAACATCTGGGAAAAGGTAACTGGCACAAGAATAGAATAGAATATCCGTGCCCTGAGAGGCAGGGATAGCAGTGAGAGCAGGGATGTCAAGAAACTCCAGTTCTTAGACAATTACCTGTGTCTGTCACTGTGTCACCTTGTGATTGCCTCCTGCTGGAAAGTCCCTATGGAAAAGCTCCAAAACAGCAGCATCTCCCCTGAATGTTCCTTCTGCTCCAGGCCCGTGGGCTGGTGGCTCCCACACCCACAACTGCCCATCTCCTGTTGCAGCTACATTCTCACAGCTGCAGCCACTGTCCAAACAGCTTCCCAGCAACATCCCCAGTTCTAGGCAGTCTTCAGTTTATAAGGAAACAAATATCAGACTCAGGAGAGATGGGGAAAGAGAAGATAGGTCTCATAGCGTAAAAGACAAGCATGCTGGTCCACTGCTTTAACCCAGAGCCTCGTTCTCCTGCTACTGCTGACTCTAGGACATATTAGGTCCTTCACTCCCACCCCTTCCCTGGTGCAATACCGGTGTCTAAAGGTCTTCAGAGGCTAAAAAGCAGAAAAGCATTCCCATATCTACTTTAGGAAGTGGCTTGCTTCCCAAACTGGCAGTAAGGAATATACTGAAGGGTAAAAATGAAGACATGGGAATACCCAAACAACCAGAAAAGGAGGAGACTGAGGGGGAACCTCACTGCAGTCAGACTTTCTCACAAGGGGAAGCAGAGGGACAGACTCTCCTCTCTGGTGACAGGACCCGAGGGGATGGCCTGAAGTTGTGTCAGGGGAAGTTTAGGTTGGATATTAGGAAAAGTTGTTTTCATTGCAGTGGTCCCAGCCAGCCAGAGTCCAAGAAGCATTTGGAAAAGGCCCTCAGGCACATGGTGTGGCTCCCGGGGAGGGCCAGGAGTTGGACTTGACGATCCTTTTGGGTCCCTTCCAAATCAGAATATTCTGTGAACTATAGGGGAAAGACACTTGATATTCACCAACGCTACCTGCTGACGCGCTTGGTGCAGCCAAGAAAACTGTTCCGAGCTATTTAAGTGTTGCTGGTGATTGAACAGGACGGAGCTGCGCTGCCCTGGGGGTGTGGGTGTGTGTGTGTGTGTGTGTGTGTGTGTGTGTGTGTGTGTGCACGGCTGTGCTGGAGGGCACTCAGCCCCACCTGCCCCGGCGGGGGCTTCGCGCTGTGCCCGTCCCAGCGCACAGGGCACAGCGCACCGGGCACAGCGCACCGGGCACAGCGCACAGGGCACAGCGCACCGGGCACAGCCCCGCATTTCCCAGTGCTCAGAGCCACCTGCCGGTGCCGCCCAGCTCCGCAAGGGCTGGGGCACAGAGGACAGCGGGGGACAGCTCGGAGCCTGCCCCATTCCGCGAGGGCTCTGACTGCCGAGAGGAGCGCGACGAGCACAGCAGATACAGCACCAAAATGAAATTTCTCTGCACTCGTGCTGTTCCAGCAAAAAACCACGCAGCCTGAGCTGAGTCTGTCCCCAGCTCTTGTCCCCAGTCTTGTCTCAGACTCATGACAGTCTGAGAGCTGTGCATGGCACGTTTTGGGCTGGGACCATCACAGCAATCATTTCATACTTGCAGAACTAGAGATGCCTCCATACTCCATCCCTTACAGCCTCTACAGCATTCCCTGCACAAGGTGACTGGGTGCAGGTTTTATCTATCCCTATTTTCAACATGGAAGTATCTAGTAGCACTGCATATTGCATAGTACTTTTATATCTGACTTCTTTTATGACTAAAGCACAGACTGGGATCATTAACACATGAAGTTACAGCCTTGGAGTCTGAAATCTTAAAATTAGATTAAATGAATTGACCATTTATGTATATTTATTTTTCATGCCCTACAGCTCTGTAAAAAAACAACAGGTATCACAACAAAGCTGTGCAAGAATCAAGGAGGGCATTCTGCTGCATTACAGCTGCCTCAAGGACATAGCCAATCTTAAAACTGATCCGTCAGCTGCAGAGCATCACTTCAGTAACTTGCAGTTTTCTTCTCATCCACATCCTACCACAGGCAGGACACGTGCCCACATTCTTCTCCCCCAGAATGCTTCAAATGAAGCCCACAAGCAGCAGCTAAGACACATGGCTGTGGTAGAAAAACCACTGCTTCCTCTTTCCAGCAGTTTCCCTCCCCAGGAACATGGTTTTGGTGGTGGAAAAAGGATTCTGCTCTATTTCATTTGTTTTGCTACATTTCCTCAGTGAATTTCATACCATGACCTAAGCCCAGACCTTGAGAATTTCTATCTCAGGAATATTGTGTGAATCACAGATGATTCAGATTGCAGGCCCCATTTCTACACAGCACATAAGCACCTACACCACTGCCAGCTGGTCAGTCTGCATACATTTACTTCCCCTATTCACCCTCAGAAATTCATACGTATTTTTTAACTCCCTCATGTCCCAGGTGGGAACTACCATGAAATTTGTCTCAGCTGTGACTCAGAATGTCCTTCTATGACAGCAGTGCTCAGGGATTTCAGCTAATGTCAGAGATGCACAGACAACTTGACAATGATGGGTTTCCATCTGGGATTTCCAAGGAGTAAAGCTGCAGCTTTTTTAATGCAGTCAGGGAGCTGGTCCTAAGCATTGGGGCAGCACCAGATGCTTGTGACAGCAAGTGATCAAAGCCCTCAGTGGTGAGAGAGCAAAGGCAAGGCTCTCAACACCACAATAATAAATAGTTTTCTCATTTCCAGATCAAGCCCTGTGACTCTGTGCATGAGCTGCACAAAGCAAACCAGTTTTGCTTGACAAAATACTATGACCATTCAACTCTGATGTAATTAGTACAATGTTATTGTCCCTTAATTAGGTAACTCCAGCAGGGTTTAATCGATGGTACAGAGACCTCGTGAGGCAGAAATGGCAGTTTGGCACCCAACTGTGGCTGGCTTTTCCTGGCTAGGTTCCTAACCGCCGAACAACTCCTCTGCATTCTGTTTTCTTTATTCCAGCCCAAAGTGCTGTGATAGAGATATCTGCAGTGTTCGGGCAGCTGCTGTCAGATAGAGAATTTAAAAACCTGGCAAAGATATGTCTCACAGCTTAATAATCTGTGCAACTTACATTTTAATTCTGAGAAAGTGTCAGTCATCAGAAATGAAGTAGACATGATACTTCATGTGCATTCCTCATGGAAACACAGCATACTTGTTCTTTAAGGGGATTTAAAGTACAGGAAACTTCTGTCTCTAGAGGCTCATTTAGTTGCTTTAGTGCCTAATTAGCAACCTGAGAGGAACCTCACCATACCCACTGTAGTGCTCTCCAGCAAACACAAGGCAGAGTCTATTTCATCTGCAGAAATCTAATTCAAATGTGATAAAGGTGATGTCATCGTAGGTGAGACAGAGTTCTCACGAGACAACACATTTCTACATCAAGCACACTATCATTGCTACGAGTGATCTCCTCCTCACTAAAAAGCTGACTATGCCTTTAAACAGCACTCTGTTTATCCACTCAGGGAGAAAACAAACCTGAACATGAAAAGCACATGAAAGATTCAACTCTAAAACAGATTTCTGCTCAGACATGGATGCAGCAATCATCATAAACAGGTTAGAATGCTTATCACAGTTTCCATACTCAACAAACCAGAAGTTAACTCTCTCATCACCCACAGCAGGCAGGACAGTGGTACCCAACAAACCAGAAGTTAACTCTCTCATCACCCACAGCAGGCAGGACAGTGGTACATAAC